ACCAAGGTTACATACGTAAGCGAGATGTTTTATAATGACAGGATATGCATTTATACAACACTTTATTTTTTAAGGAAGAGCCGCTCGTTCCATGCGTCATAAGTCATTATGCTAATTCTGCGTCATTGCACATGCGCAGTCCTTTCAGTTTCGGGGTTCAATCCAATCGAGTGTTTACATGCACTCTCAATCGTATTAGAAAAGGAATAAACCACCCCCTTCAATCCGATTTAAATTTAATTCCGATCTAGCTCAATCGGATCGATTAAGGTGTTTACATGAAGGTTTTTCAGTCCGATTGAGCCATCAATCCGATTACAAATGGATTATTTGGTTGCGTGTGAACATAGTCACTGATGATGATTGACATGAAAACCAGTGAGGTTTGTGTACAGTTTCTTTCTTCTTTATATGCCATTCATTCTGTAAACAAAAGTTATTGCACATCAGATTTGAATAGGGGAGGATTTTTGAGTGAATACAGCTTACTGTGTAGTATACTTTTCACATAAAGCAATCAAATCACACAAATCATATTGGCTATATTTATGGTCTTTTTTGAGCTTGATGGTTACAGTCAAAAACCTCTCATCCTTGCATTTAATGGATGAAAATGTCTGGAGAGGCATGAGGGTGAATAAATGACTTTTTTTGTCATATGTATTTCATATCATTTATTTGTATTATTTAATATTCTGTTTTTGTGATCTTGTAAAAGCCTAATCACATACTTTCATACTCACTGATTCACCATACTTTATTCAGTTGGCCAATTCTAGTGCTGTTGGATATTCTTGTATGGTCGAGGTTGATTGGTTTTATGATAGAGCATGACTTTTTTTAGCTAGAATTTTAGATTCCAATTGAACATAATTTACTTATTGTATCTAATTATGAGACTCCTCACAAAGTCATGAAGGGGGAACTTACCTTAAAACCCTTGATGGCTGATGGCCCATCTTTAAATATTTAATTGCCTGAGCCGTGCATGTCTCTTCTGATCTCAGGGAATTAAATGAAATATTGGCATTTACACAACCTGACTTTAACAGATTATTTTAAGAACTTGTGATTCTGAGCTGCTCTTGGATTTGAATACTTCATTTAAATCAATTACTTTTATTATAGCGGTTTCACTATACTGTATACATGTCAAAAGGGACATCAGCTTTACATGCTTAAAAAGATATCATTATGGAGTTATGGTTATTATATAAAAAAGTATCATTTACTTTTCTCTAGAAGAGGATTTCAAATGTTATGTTCTCTTATATTCTAGTCTGTTACTGCAGAACAACAATGCTTGATGTTTGGATACCTACAAACTTGACTGACCAACGGCTGTTGACTGACCTGAGGGCTTCATTACAAAGAACAAGTGTACCAGGAAGATTCAAGAGTTTCAAGGGTTGGAGATGTTTGGCACAGTATATACTGAATTTCATAGATGGAGTTTATGCTTCACACTTAAAGTCACCATGAAATAAAAAAAATAAAAAAACATTCTAATGAACATGACATTCTATTTTGAATAACATTATAACGGTGTGGTTGAAGAACATAGTTTTATAGAATATAATTTTCAACCACTCCCCTCTAAACACTTGTCAATCAGAGATGGCAAGGATGTGTGTTATCAACATGAGCCTATTTAAAAACAAAAAAGAGGATTTACTGCATATTCTTGGTCTTACTGTGCATGAATCATCTTTTCACAATATTTAAAAAATAATGCCTGTAATTGTTTATCAATATGGAACCAATCATGTTATGATTCACTTTTATTTTTAACCCCTAATCTTCAACCACCTGATTTCTATTTGTCACAATCCAATAAATAAATAAGTTAGTAAATAATGTAATAGAATAAAATTTAAAAGCGAGTCTCACCCTACATAAGTTTTGGTTGACTATCACATTTAACTGGGAAATAAATTAAATTATAGAAGTTCAATGGGATTTAAAGGGATGTGAAAAGTCTGTCATTAATTAATCACCCTCATGTCATTCCAAAACCGTAACACCTTCGTTCATCTACAGAACACAAATTAAGATATTTTTGATGATATCCTAGAGCTCTCTACATGCGTCAGCACATGCATGCGTTGTTTGTTTCCATGAAGTGGAAGCAAGCGCATGCGTTGTGATACTCTCCACAATGGTGGCACACCACTGAAGTTGGGATGAGAAGGAGAAGAATTGTTGAATAAAGTCTTTATTTTTGTTTTCTTTGCCCACAAAAAGTATTCTCGTAGCTTCATAAAATTACGGTTGAACCCCTGATGTCACATTGACTATTTTACCGATGTCATTGCTACGTTTCTGGACCTGGAAACATTTCAGTTGTGTTGCTGTCTATGGAGAGCTCTCGGATTTCATCAAAACATCTTAATTTGTGTTCCAAAGATGAACAAAGGTCTTACGGGTTTGGAACGACACGAGGGTAAGTAATTAATGACAGAATTTAAATTTTTGGGTGAACTATCCCTTTAAATCGCATTTCACATTGTATAGAGCAGCTGTAAAGTAGCTGTTTTTAGCTCTACTATAGGGAATTTTACTTCAATCAATCCTCAACAGCTCATCAAGAATGTGGCAGCATTGTTGGTCCTTTTTCTTACTTAAAGTGGTCATGAACTGAGAAATCAAAATACCTGAAATTTTTTTACATATAAGAGGTCATTGTACTAGATAACACATCATGTAAGTTTCAGAACTCAAAACGTTCTTGTTAGTGTAAAAACAGCTTATATTGAAGCCAATCTGCCAAAACGACCGGTTGTGGAATGCACCACTCTATGATGTAAGAGTGTGACTAAACACCACCTCCGCAGAAGAAGATCAACACCGGCTTCTACATCACTGCCTGTTAAGTCCTGCCCACCGATTTGCGCATGTAGTGTAAATAGGAAGAGAGACAAATGCAGGTCTACGCTGAAACCTTAAAAGTGCCTCCGAAGACAACAAGACAAGTGCCAAGTTGTGGAAAAAGTTGTGGTCTTTGCATTGCCTTCCTTCTGATCCCAGCATTAGGAAAGAGCGGATTAACTTTATTTTTAAGTTTCAGACTGCATCAGTAAGATCTTGGTCCTTTATACACTTCATTTTACGGGTATAGAGCAGCTGTAAAGTAGCTGTTTTTAGCTCTACTATAGGGAATTTTACTTCAATCAATCCTCAACAGCTCATCAAGAATGTGGCAGCATTGTTGGTCCTTTTTCTTACTTAAAGTGGTCATGAACTGAGAAATCAAAATACCTGAAATTTTTTTACATATAAGAGGTCATTGTACTAGATAACACATCATGTAAGTTTCAGAACTCAAAACGTTCTTGTTAGTGTAAAAACAGCTTATATTGAAGCCAATCTGCCAAAACGACCGGTTGTGGAATGCACCACTCTATGATGTAAGAGTGTGACTAAACACCACCTCCGCAGAAGAAGATCAACACCGGCTTCTACATCACTGCCTGTTAAGTCCTGCCCACCGATTTGCGCATGTAGTGTAAATAGGAAGAGAGACAAATGCAGGTCTACGCTGAAACCTTAAAAGTGCCTCCGAAGACAAGACAAGTGCCAAGTTGTGGAAAAAGTTGTGGTCTTTGCATTGCCTTCCTTCTGATCCCAGCATTAGGAAAGAGCGGATTAACTTTATTTTTAAGTTTCAGACTGCATCAGTAAGATCTTGGTCCTTTATACACTTCATTTTACGATGGATTTGTTACAAACAAGGCAATTCTATGCAGGAACTTCAGAAAGATTGAAACTAAAAGATGATGCTGTGCCGACTATATTGGATCCGAGTAATGTCACTCCACACAAGTGTGAATAACTGTTTTTATTGCATGGTCACTATTTCTTTGTCTGTTATTACAGCTCGTTTGATATGTACTGAGTATTTATGCTTTTTTAACCTAAATCACGTCATCTGTGCATCTGTGAAGGATGTAGGCTGTCAAACATATACAACAGTTAGCCAAGCATACCAGTGGGCGTTTCCATCATACCAGTCTGTGTCTACAATCCGCCACGCCTATTCAAGCAGATCATTCTGATGAGGGGGGTCAATACAGGTCAGAAAATAGACTATTACTTCTAAATGATGGGGTTTTTTTACACAAAAATCTTGATAACATTATAAATGGACCTCGGAGAACAGTACAAAATAATAAGAAAAAGGCAGTTCATGAACCCTTTAAACCATGTTCAAAACTATTATCTTGGCAAGAGGAAACAAACAGACCAGCACTTCCCTATGTTTGATTCACTATCTATAAATAGTCTGAATAAGTCTATTAATTGCCTTGAATGTAAATATCAATTAATTTAGTTCAGCTTTGCATTATACCATTTTACTCACTTTCCTGTGATCAGTGGGGTCCAACAATGAGGCAACTGACATCACTGTGTGTGGGGAATTGTTGAGAGTAGCACAGTTGTAGATGCCATTTTTGGGGATTTTGTTAAATACTGAGGCATGTTTAGTGCTCTGGGCCTGTTGAATGGGTTCTACGTAAACTGCTACATCGCTGAAAGAGCTCCTGGGATGAAGCAATAATGTGTGATTTGTGACATAGTGCCCAGTGGCTGTTCAAACAGCTTTGAAAAACAGAAGGTTCTAAAACTCTTTTCATAAAACACTGAAAAGTGGTTACATAAGCTTCAAAACAGTTTGCAGAAACTTGTAGCTGGTTTGAGCCTGTCCTTAGTTTGTCCTTATCTGGTCATGAGCTGGTAATGTGCTGGTCCTAAGCTGGTCTTAAGCAACTAGATCCTGCTCAGAACTAGCTCATAACCAGCTTATAACCAGCTCAGGACCAGCATAAACCAGCTCATGACCAACTAAGGATCCGCTTAAACCAGCTCAAACCAGCTGCCATGCTTCAAAACATACCTAATGTTGTTCTTTTTTCAACAGGGTAGTCTATACAAACCCAATGACATCTAAATTAACTGTAAGATATAGAAATAGCAGGTTAAACTGCATTCTGGGAACATACCTGAGTTATTGGATTGGTTGCTGACCAGCACAGACGATGGAAGAGTAAATGGCTCCAATCGTTCCAAAGATCCATTTGAAGGCCATTGATGTGTTTCATTGTCACGTGCAACAACTTTTGACGAGAGATTGGGAGGCTTTTGGGCTGTGCTGGCAAGTAATGTGAGTACAGAGGAAAATGCAGGTTGTTCCCTGCTACCCTTTGACAAGCCTGTGGGATCTGATTGGACTACAGAAGCTGGATTCCTGTCTGTCATATGGAAGCCGCCAAACAAATGGGTTGAGGAGGGTGATGTGGCCGCATCCAGAAATGATCCAGAGGCTTCATGACTCAAGTCATCTAAAAAGAGAGAAAGAGAATAATATAAATGTATCCCAGGGCAGTCCAATCTTTTCTTTCCAGAAACACAGTTTGTTCATTTTGAGGAAAACTTTTCTACACTGTAATTTCAATCTGCTATTCAGAATTTGTTTCCTTGAGGAGATGGAGGCACTCAAAATTACAGCTCTCAACATGCTTTTGACAATACAAAATACTTTTTTCAACACATCAATAAATACGTTGATGCTGAAAGAACACCGAAAAGACCTGAAAGACATTACAGTCTCATATAAGGATGCTGAAGATGTAATTTGGGGCTACGATTTTCATCCTACCAAATATGTCAATCAGTCATAATTTAAACAGAACTTTCTTAGCTATAATTAGTTTGGAACCACATTTTAAAAATGTTATGATAGTCAATATATTTGGGATAATACATATTCGGAGTAGTTATATTTTATAATGACATGTTGAATTCAACCAAGACAATATGCATGAAAAATGTATTAATCAAAGCAACGTCTAACCTTTGGATCACTAGTGACCAAGTGACCAAATGTATGTGTCACCATAGAATAGATGCTAAAAGATGAATGACTGATATAAAATTCACATTTATATGCTGACTGAACAGAGACCCTTCAAATAATTTTGCTGGCACCCATCCACAATTACTTATTTACCATTTTCCGCTGTCGCTCTGATATGCTCAATATCTGGAGGCCTATCTGATTCATTCACATGAATCTGCAAGCTCTGCATATTCTACACACTGTGTAAAGTAGTTGTTTATGAATTCCTGACTCTAGCAAAATGAACTGCTTCACATACTGCATGCTGAATTGACAGGTTCCTCTGCATACAATAATGGCACAAATGACTGACAGAAATTCTGTAAAAATACAGCAATGATTAGTTAACAAAACACAATACCATCCAAATCCAGTGAGAGCTGTGATATACAGTATAACATGTCAGCAGTCCTTTACATTAGGGCTGGGTGATTTAGACCAAAAATCGTTTGTCTGTAATTTTATATGCTACACAATATAGGCATAGATCTTGCCTATGATTTTCCCTAGATTTTCTTTGAAATGGGTTAAATGTTCAGATTATCTCAACAGCCATTACTGTCTCCGGGCTCACAATGTCCTGGACACCAATAGTTTAATGATTCAGAAAAGACAAATCATTGTTTGGTCAACAGAGACATCTGACAGGGTAAAGTCATAGGCGAAGCGTGTGTAAGGCTGGGGGAAGGCTTAGCTTAAAAGGCTTAAAAGGCCTTTAAATGCTTTAAAATGGCACTAAATTTGACAAAATGCCCCTGCACAAATAAATTAAATCTATTACGTCTGTTGCTAACTGTTACGGAGAGCGCTTCTGTTACTCTCTCTTCGGGCCACCAGAGGGCTCCATCACCAGAGTACTAGTTTACTCCCCGCACTACATTTTCCCATCAGCCCTGTACCTGTCACTGATCATTATCCCACACCTGTTCCCCATTACTTTAGACTATTTAATGAACTCTTTCACCCAGATTCTCTGCAAAGTCTTTTTTTTTGGCCTTGGTGTACATTTCTGAGCGTTATTCCGGTTTCATTGGACTGCCTTCTGTTATTACCTCTGCCTGCCTTTTGTCTCTTGTTGATTTGCTGCCTGCCCCTTGGACTTGTGCTCTGTTTACTGGACTATCGACATTGGATTGCCGCCTGCCGTGACCTAAGACTGTCTATGATCACCATTCTGCCTGCCCTACGATATTGCCTAATCTGTGTCTTGACCTCTGCTTGTTTGATTAAGTTTCAAATAAAACTGCAAATGGATCCCAGCCATGTTGATGAATCATTACACTAACAAAGTGAATATGAATAGACAGTGTCGTCGATTGCGGCATTAAATTAAGATCTGCTCATGTTGCACCATATTTCATTTTAGGCGTTTTTACAGTGTTGCGCATTTGAACCAATCACACACAGTTCTGTTAAACTTAGGAATGCAATGGCTAATCAGAGGCATTCAGGTGAGTCATCGTTGAAACCGATCAGTTTTGTTGAGTGCGCGCACGTTCGCTGACTGAATTCCGGACTCTTGCGAATTCTCTCATCATAAACAACAAAGTGCAGATGTAGGCCTACGTACAATGTAAGAGATTAATTTCACAGTGTACACAGCTTCAGTGATTATAACGATAGTTTTGTTTTTTTGAGAGTCCTTAAACTTGCGATAGATTCGTGATAATGTCACTTTCTTTATATAATTTATTCGCTGTTTGAATAACCGTGGAAAGGAAACGTTCTATAATTATCAATTTCTAACGTTTTTATTAAATGGTAATCACGTTAAATACAAATTCAGTCCCATTAAACTTTTTTTTTTTTTTTTTAGCCGACATGACACCCATGTCTGGTTCTTGCCTAAAAAGACAGGTTTATGATGTTTAATACATTTGACTGCTTTAAGCCTTACCCTGGAGTTGGTTCACCCTCCACCTATGGGTAAAGTCTGTTAATATGCTTGTGTTAGTCTGAAATGCTTAATGTAAAGCAATGTCATGTAGGATGTGCACTTTTCCCTTATTAACTTACTGTGTCCTCCACTATTTTTTTAGATGCATTTACCAAACTTAACTATATTACTATAATCAGTATTGTCTCTGCTTTTATATATATATTTTTTTTCTTTTTTTTTTTTTGAAAATATATCTGTAACCAAAATACCTGTTCATATACCCATCAGCCTTACATTATATGTCCTTTAGTGGTACAGTGAAGCTTTAGATGTAGATAGGCTGTGTTTCTCCCTTCTGACAGACCTGTTCTGTCTGCCCACTGAGAAAAACAAGGTAAAATAAAAAAGGAGAAAGTGCTGTACTGAAAATACGGTAACACTTTATAATAACTTTTATTAAGTCATTAACAGACATTATGTAATGCTTAACGGATCATTAGTTCATATATATATATATATATATATA